GATCCTAGGGATCCACAAGAAAGGTGGGAGGAGGCAGAAGTCAGCCACACGGCCCCCACCTGCTGCCTTCTGGCCTCTTCTGTAGGAGCTCTCTTGCCATTGTCTGAGCCTTCAGTAGCTGTTGACTCACAAGGGGGGAGAGACCTGCAGCATGAACTTCCAGCAGGGTACCCATAATGTCGGCCAGGGACAATGCTTGGCTCTCATCATTTCCCCCTCTCATCTGCCACTGCAGCCCGTGGGTGCTGGTCCCAATGGGGTACAGCCATAGATGGTCTTCCGGGGGGTCTCTCGGAGGCAGCACGCCTCTGCTCTGCCCTAAGGGAGCGCCATGTGGTTCGAACCCCATTGTTCATGTTAGTGGAGGAGATGACCTGAGCCTCAGTAATCTCTGTGTAAAAGCAGTATCACTTTTAAGAAAATCCCTAAGGAATGTAGATTGATTCCAGATGGTGACCACAGTCACTAACAAGGAACAAAAGGAGCTGGTGTAATTAGTATTTGCTTGGAATTCCTTTGCTTGGATTTCTATCTCTGAGTGTGTCTGAGGGTACAGCTAGGAAAGCTCCCATCTAAATGCTCAGCTTTCAGGGATTGTGCTGCAAGACCAGCATGTCCTAGGCACCCCCATCACAGAAGGGAGCTGCTGGAAATGCAACAAATTGCTAATGTCTGTCAGAAATCACTTTGCTGACTTTACCCAGCTTGATGGAGAACAACAGAGACATTACAAGTCCAAAACATACCACAACTCAGCAAATTGTGTTCTCTGCTAAACACACCCCGCTGTGCTGTGGACAGAAATTTTAGGGGGGCGCACTGTTAGTCTCTGATTTCTCTTCATGCTCTACATGAGTCTATTATGAAGCTAGGAAGTGCCATCGAGAAGCCTTTGCTGGGCTGTGAGACCTAGGCATTGAGGACTAGGCCCTGAATGGCTCTAGATGTTTCAAGCTGATTGGAGTGTGTGAGGCAGAGATTATCGTGGAGCTGGCGTTACTGAACATGCATATGTTGGAGATACAGAATTCTGTGGGTGGTCAGCAGCACAGGGAGTGTTATGTGTAGGAATCGCACACACAACTGGTCTGCCGAGCTCTCCGCTCGCCCACTCAGGGTCACATACAGAACCTTCCTTACCATCAAAATGGAAAACATCTGGGTAGCACTTTCGTTTCCACTCAGGGTTGGGTTATGTATCTGGGGAAGACTGCTTTGTTCAGGGCTGTTTTGGGAAGAGCTGCAGGAGTTCAGGAAAATGTGTTTGATACAAAGGCTGTAAAGAATGAGATTTCCCAGAATACCCTGAGAATGGACTAAGATGCCAAAAGATCAGTGACTACATTTCCCGGATGATTTGAGTTTTGAAGAATTCTCTCCTGCCATCCATATGTTGAAGAGGTTTTGTGTGCTGGTGTGAAGCTTCTGTGGCCACTTATGCTAGCTTTATTGCCAAAATCTGCTGGTGGTGCAGGGCTAGGCCGCCATTCCCCACCCCAGGATCCTGCCCTGTTCACACACCTTTCTCATGGGCCAACACATTTATTTCCATTGGCTGTTTTCTGCAGAGGCCGGTGCAGGAGTCAGCTTGTGATCTGCCCTGCGGGGCCTCAGACGTAATCCTCAAGTACAGAAGCTACTCCATGCACAGCACTGGGCTTGCCTCTCGCTTTGCACCAAGCTTGTCATTCACACTAGTGCAGAGTGAGTTCACACTCACTCTGTGCAATGTGCAGGGCAACGGGGAACCTGACCCAATGACTCCTCAGATCACACTTTTGCCCCATGAAGGACAGGGGAGCCAGTGTGTCTGAGTCTGAATGGAAACAAGGAAGAGTGTGGAAAATTCCTGCAGTACTTAGAATCAGAACCATAGGGTTAGAAGGGACTGCAAGGGTCATCTAGTCTAACCCCCCGCAAGATGCAGGATTTGTCATCTAAACCATCAAAGACAGATGAAAACCTCCAGTGGAGGAGATTCCACAACCTCCCTAGGCAGTCTGTTCCATTGGCCTACTGTTCCTACAATTAGGAAGTTTTTCCTGAGATTCAATCTAAATCTGCTCCTCTGTAGTTTGAACCCATTGCTACCCTCTGTCACAAGAGAGAACAACTTTTCTCCATCTTTTTTATGGCAGCCTTTCAAATATTTGAAGACTGCTATCATGTCCCCCCAGGTCTCCTCTTTTCCAAACTAAACATACCTAGTTCCTTCAGCCTTTGCTCATATGGCCTGCATTCCATCTCTTTGATCATCTTTGTTGCTCGCCTCTGGACCCTTTCCAGTTTCTCTACATCCTTTCTATTGGTGACCAGAATTGGACAGAGCACTCCAGCTAAGGCCTAACCAGTGTCGAGTAGAGCTGTACTATCACCTCCTGTGACTTGCATGCTCTGCCTCGTTTAATGCAACCTACATTTGTATTTGCTTTTTTTACAACAGCATCACATTGTTGACTCACACTTAGTGCCAGAGTGATTCATCAGTCCAAAGCTCTGAGCAGCAGGTCAGGGGGTGAGCATGCAGGGTGGGAAGAGTGGGGTATAAATGGACTCTGAGCAATTTGCCATTAATCCTATTTTGAGGTGGAGAAGATGAAATTGTTTTTTGACAACTGGTTCCAGGCTCCACGGCTTTGATCTGTATGCTGCTGTGCTCCTGGGTGGGTCAGTAAACTGCCTCATAACTGATAGTAGTAGTTGCAAGTTCTGGCATGGACAATATTCCTGGGACACATCATTGTTATGCCAGTGTTACTGTCTTAGGGATCAGAGCACACAGTATTATATTTAGAACAGCAATCTGAGGCCCTTCTGGGCCTTGTGAGGGAGGTGGTGTTCCTGCGTCTGTGAGAGTAGGTGCTTGAGGACTGGCCCTGACTGGCTCTAGGTGGTTCTGGCTGCCTTGAGTGTGTATGAGGGGAGAGGATTCTTGTGGAGTCAGCATTACTGGCTTTGCAGATGTTGGAGATGAGGGGGCCCTGGGTGGCCAGCAGTACAGGGAGTGTTATGTGTTTACAGCTCCCTGCACTAGTGAGGGGCAGAGGGACCAGCCAGTTCTCTGTGCCTCTTTTGCAGGGTATGGACTGGAGGGCAGCACCCAAGTTGGAGCTGCAGAAATCCTGTGGGGAGTTAGAGCCTTCCTCTGCCCCATGGTGAAGGCCCCATTTTGGGCAGGCTGCATTTACTTTCCACAGTAATTCCTAATGTGTTGGCTGGTTATTGACAGACTGTTAAGAATTTCCAGTTAGTCACTGATGAACTGTCTGAGTGTTGAAAGGTTCTAGTCCCAGAACCAGGCACAACAGAGTTCAGGTTTAGTTGTGTCTGGTTGGGAACCTTGATGTGCACAACGACACACTAAGGGCAAACCAAAGCTTTAAATATTTGTATTAGCACAATTAGTAAAAATACAAATGTTCTGAACCAAATGAGAAAGTAGCTGTAATTTAAAACCAAGCTCGTTTTCAGTACCATCCCTGACACATACTCACACCTTCTCATGGAGGCCTAGTGGTAGGAGACACGTGGTGTTCCATGCCAAGTGAGTCCAGTGGTCAAGATCTTGAGGTTTACCTGGTGACTGGGCCTATTATAAGTCTGGAGGCTGCCATGAATATTCATATAAAGGCCAGGCCCACTTAGTCCATAACTGACTTCTTAACCCTAATAATGTCTGGTGTTCTTATTCTGTAGGTTAGTATATGAATGATCTCATTAATATCATATATGTCAGTTTCATTGCCAAGACAAGTTTGTGGTTGTGCATTTGCAGATGTCCTGTCCTAAAATATCCAAAGTTTGGCTCAGTCTGATTGTCTATGGGTACCTGGTGTTATTTTATACAAAAATCCCCTAAATCAAACTTGTCACTGTTGGGCAATTCACATATGCGAAGGCTGGTAGGCCTCAAAGCCTTATGCTAACTGCTTAAGCCAAATAGCTCACAGGGTATAGACCTTGTAGGCTTCTTGCGTTACTGCTCAGTAAAATACCTCTAAGCTAGTTCTATGGACTAGCGCCCCCCTTGCAGTTTGCCATGTCTTGATCCCCCTGCTCCAGAGCTGGTTGGAGGTGGTGCACTGAGCCCATGGTGTGTGAATACAAATCTATAGAGTTTGGGGAGCTGCTCTAGGTACCCCACCCATGAACTCATATGTGGCAGTTGTTCCAGAGTACTGTGCTGACAGGAAAACCTCTGGACCTCTGAGCGCCTCCTGGAGGGAGCTCAGCCCATGACACTCCCTTAAACACTAATGCTAGGAAGGTGGTCAGGGAAAAGCTGACTGGAGATTGAAATTCATGGTTACGGATGAAACAGACTGAGCCAAGGAGAGTTTGGCCAGTCAGAGCAGGGGAAGGGGTTCACTGCCCTTTCCTCTCTCTCCATTTACTGGCTGACTCCTGCTATCCGTGACTGTGACAAATCTGACCTGAGATCACTTCAGCCTTGGAGTCTGAGAAGGTTAGTCTCGTGATCTGAGCATGAGCCTGACATTTGGCAGCCAGTAGTTCACATCCCTGCTCCGCCACAGACTTCCTGTGTGACCTTGGGGAAGTCACTAAAGATCAGATGTTTAAAGGGTTTTAAACTCCTAGTGATTTTCATACATCCATTGATTTCAATGGAGACAGGCCCCACTCCATGTAGGCACCTAAATTCCTTTAAAAATCTGGTCCTTGGCTCCTCAGTTCCCATGTGTAAAACAGGGCTAACGGCACTCGCAGGGTGTGGTGGGGGTGAATACACTGAAGAGTGTGAGGCATGCTCTACTGGAGTGCAGTACCATTGATAGACTATTGTCCCTTGAGTTGATCTGCTTACCAATGGGTACCAGTTAATAGAAGGGAGGGGAGGTGTGTAGGATTTCTGTGAGGGTTGGAATTAATTCTGTATTGCACTCAACCCCCTGCACAGAGTAACATGTAGCCCAGCCAGCCAGTGGTGAGAGGCACCCGTAGAGGAGCCCATGCTCATGCAAGTTCTTATTGTTCCACAGGGGAAGGGGCTGCAGTCCTGCTCCGGTCCTTGGAACCTCTGCAGGGCCTGGACACCATGAGGCAGCTGCGAAGTACTCAGAGGAAAGGATCAGCCAACCCACTGAAGGACTGGCAGCTGTGCAATGGGCCCTCCAAGCTCTGTCAAGCACTCGCTATTAACAAGAGCTTTGACCAAAAGGACCTGGCTCGTGACACAGCAGTCTGGATGGAGCCTGGCTCAGAAGCACCAGGAGAGCAGGCTGTGGTGACTGCAGCCAGAATTGGTGTCAGCTATGGTGGAGAGTGGGCACAGAAACCACTGAGGTTTTATATACGAGGGAACAAATGCGTGAGTGTTGTGGACAAGAAGGTGGAGAGAGAGCAAGGTGCTGCAGACTAGAGGTGTGGGTGCTTTCATTAACTATCAGCCCCAGACTCTGACCTAATGGAACTGGGCCAGGGAGGTGGTGCTGGTTTGGAAGCTGTTTGAATAATAAATGTGCTTTGTTACAATGATATGAGTAAGGTGGGATGTCTGGTCAGTAGTTAGCCTGAGAGAGCCAGGTTCACTCCCAGCAGTGCCACGCTCCTCTGGGGTTTCCAAATGACACTGGACTTGTTTTGTGGGCATTTAGGGTAGGGCTCTTAACTCTGAGGTGAAAGCAATGAGATTCCACATGACTAGAACCCTTCAACTGTGGGAGGGGAGGGAGAGAGGTTGTTAAGTATAGGGACAATTCCATCTCCTACCCAGCCTGACTCATTCTTCTGCTTCCCTGCCAGTTGTCCCCAGCCACCCCACCCAAAAATGCTCCTGTTTGATTTCTGCAGTTGCTAAGCCAACAGCCACCCAGGTTCCTGAGCGGAAAGAAAGCCCAGACAGTCTGTGAAGGTGGGGAGGCATATCCCCTTTAGGTACAAGGACACTCTTGCAGCTGTGGCAGCACAGGTACTAGCTGCCCTCAGCATCGAACTCCACACTGAGCTAGCAACACACCAGCAACAGGGGCAGCACAGAGAGAACTGGTAAAGAGAGGTATCAAAACCGCTGTGAAGCACGCAGAGCCTACAAGAGGTACAGGAAAGGGCTAAAGGACAGATTCACAAGGGTACTTAAGCACCTCAGGATGCAGTTACATGCCTCAGGCCAACACTGAAGGCTTGTACACAACTAGCACTTACTTCAGTATAATTTAAGTTACTCGGAAGTGAAAAAGCTACCCTTCTGTGCACTGCAAGATACACTGACTTAAGTGCTGGTGTGGACACAGCTACTGTCAGGACAGCTCTCTCAGCAGCATAGAGCATCTACACTAGCAGCACTATAGCTGTGCTGCTGTAGCGATTCTAGTGGAGACTTGGCTGGAGATGCCATTGACATTTTTAAAACCACTGCTCTGCTACTTGAATAGAGGCAACCAGTTTCTGCTGCACCAATGTCCAGTCAAAGTGAGTGTTGTTTATTCAGCGACACCAAGGTAAAACCTTTCTTCAACTCCACACACACAGCCTGCGCAGGGAGCAAGGAACCCCAGCCCAGTGGCAGGGATTTCGGGAAGACACGGCACACTGGGAGTAGCTGGACTGAACTGCTTCACTTGTGTGTGCCTCTCTATCCCCACTCTCATGCATCTTGAGGGCAGAGCTCTGTCCACAAGCAGGTTGGGGTTTACATCCCCCAGCCAGATGGTGAAAGGGAGGGAGAAGGGGTGACTTGCTGAGGGTCACTGGGAAGGTCAATGGCAAAGGTAGAACCTCTGGCTGCTGCTACCCTGCTCCTGTATTAACATTTATATAAACAAAATATTAAGACTGAAGGAGCTGAAAACAGAGGAGCAGTTCCCCTCCCACACTCCACATAGTCACTTCAAGAGGGACTGGAAGACTGAAATCACAGGGTCCTCATGATTGGTCACAACCAGCACACTGCGAAACTTATCAAAGAGCATGACCAGCTGGGAGCGGCGCATGTTCTCGTTATACATGATCTCCTCCAAATGGTGCCGTCCTCGGAAATAGTGCAGCAGCCTGCAAGGCAAGGAGAGGAGAAGGTGAGCTCGCACTTGCCCCTCCACTGTGTGCACAGGACAGAGGTTCTGCACCCCCATTACAAAACAACGCTTCAGCCCTTGGAACAAGCTGGAGACTGAGCAGATCTTTTCAAGCAGTGGATTAACAGCCAAGTCTGAGCGCTACAGCAACCTGGCCACCAGCGCATTTCACTGAACATGAGCCCATAAAAGGTTTCACAGACTAAAACTTGGGCAACTCCATTTTACAACCTCCAAACACAGTTTGGCCCAATCTACTATCCAAGGTCCTGCCATGTGGTCACTGGGAATCAGCTACGGTGCCTGCCCAACAGTTATCCATTTCCCCCTAAACTCCAATAATGCACAAGAAGTTCTGGTTTAGAAAATACATTGGCTGAGATCAGTCCACACTAAAAGATGACCAGTGCTAGGCTGTAGCGGCATCCCAACCTCCCCATGTACCTGCAACACGTGTGATCTGTATTAGGGCAGAGCAAGACACCAACCAGAGGTTTGCAACTCCTGCAGCCTTGAAGTTAAACTCCCTGCGCCACTTGTTGCCTGGATTGCCAGATCTTGGGGCTGGGATGCTTATCAGTAAACTGTACCCCAAATAATCCTATGGGGCCCTGATCCCAGAGAGGACTCTCAGGCACTACTAAAATACTACTAAAGACTTATCACAGAATAACTAACTCAGAAACGCACAGGGATATTGTTTACAGCTAACATGATTTACTTTTTTTTAATATCTACACTAACTCATTTTAAGTGGCTTTCTTTGTATAAACACTGATCAAGATAAAGCTTCTCACAAGCATTCTTCTAGCTTTTATGTGTAGGTCCAGCAGTCCACAGAGCATTGGTTACTTGGCAGTTAATGTGCTATTGAAATATAAGGCACCAAGCCAAACCACTTCTCCCAAACCATCATCATTCCTCATGCGCTGCTTCTCAGCCCAGCCACGCCACACCATGCTTCCACAGTGTGTATGTATTGGCACTAGATTGCTATCATGAGAAACACACCAATGCTAGGGCACAAACACAGGTTTCCTATAAATGGGAGCAGGAACCTCAAAGAAAACCTTTGGACACAGTATAGGTAGTTTGCTGCTCTAATCCACTTGTGGGGAGAGGAGCCCAGGCCCCCACACACTGTGCATGTGATGCAATCCTGGGGTAAAAATGGAAGAGGACAGAATGCAGCAATCACACTGAAAAGCCACAAACCCTGGTTCCCTTCCAATTCTTCACCTGTTCTGCCTCTCCCATGTTGCCACAGTTTCATTCAGCCTCCAGGACACCAGCCTAGGAACCTTCCTGGCCCAGAAGAACTCACCTTTTCTCCTCCTGACACACTTGCATGACTTACTTTCTAAACCTGCTAATAATACAGAACAAACATCCACAGCCCCAGAGAGCAGCCAGGCCCTGCCTGTGGATTTTCGACTGCTCTCTAGCTCTCAAATTTCCAACTCAAACCAGGAAACCAGATCAGAAATGCAAGGGAGGAAGATTTGGTTAAGTCCCTCGTTTTGCATAAAATGCCAAGTAACTGAAGTTTGTTCTTAGCAGGGAGCACGGAAATTCTGGCTGAGGTACCAGGGCAACCATCGGGTAGCTTTAATGTCCATAGAGAGCAGGCAGGGCCTTGGTTTGTGAGGTCTCATCCAGAAGAGAGACAGATTGTAGCAAATTCCATTTATCTTCCATAGAAAGAAAACCACTGAGCCTACTCTGCTGGAGTTTGACTCGGGATTAGCACTATGACAGGCTCACTCTTCCCCCAAAGCACTGCACAAGTAGCTAATTCTGCCTCAGTGCCCCGGGTGCACAAAGGGGGATTATTCCCACTCAGAAATGGAGACTAGAGACAGAGTGCCTAGCTACACAACACATGTTCCATGCTCGCTCCCTGGCTTATACCCTTGATGGGGACGCACAGACTGAATTAGAGCCTTCCAGATTTGGCCACACAATGAATCAGTGGCAGAGGCAAGATAAGAGCGCTGGAGTCCCTCTTGCTGCATACAGAGTCACTGAGAGCCAGTAAACACTGAGGCACAAGGTCACTTTCCAGAACAGAACTGTCTAGCTAGCCCTCCAAATGATCATTCGTACTCACTGTTCTCTGCTGAACTGTTTAGTCTACTCAGTATCTTCCCTGTGCTTTGCATACACTATTGGAAAATGGTCCAACTCATCAGTGCCTGCACATAGCGGCCCAGATTCACTTCACCAGATAAGTACATACGTATTCTGGGCTGCGTCAAGCATTGTTAACACTGTCATACCCTAAACCTACCCACTGATGTTAAAACACTGGGGATGGAAAATACCATTCAATCCTTCTGTTCCAGGACAGGACTGGCCCTGTGGAAACACTTCGTTCTCGGCTGCAGTTCTGTAATCTCCCTGTTGCCCTACTTCTCCGGATATTCACCTCAGTACCAGCTTTACCATGGCACCATGGCTCCAGATCCAGGCTCCAAAGGGGCCCCGACCTGCTCTGCTTGGGCTGCAGTAAGGCCCCGCTAGCTCTTCTCTGCCCCCCTGCCCTCTCCTGCGGAGGCAGAAGCTTCATCCTGCTGGCTCCTGGGGCTCCTGCTGCAGGGCAGGCTCCACCCACACCCACTGGCAGCTAAGCTCGCCCCTTCCTCTTCCCCCGAGCGCGCCGCATTCCCACCCCTCCCCCTCCCAGTGCTTCCCCTGCCGCCTAACAGCTGTTTGCCGGCGCAAGGGAGAGGGAGGAGCAGGGCCGCAGCACGCTTGGGGGAGGAGGCGGAGAAGAGGCAGGGGTGGGGCATTGGGGAAGGGGGTGGGGCAGAGGCAGGGCCCCCGCACTCCCCTACATGTATCCCCTTCAGCCCCCTGCCATGAACCACTCAGGCAGTGGGCTAGGAGCACCCCCACAACCCCAACCCACACCCCCAGCCCTGACTCCTGCACCCCCCTCACACACACCTAGCCCCCTGCCCTGACCCCTGCACTCCCTCACATACCCCCATGACCCCAGCCCTGACTCCTGCACCCCCCACACACATACCCAGCCCCCTGCCCTCCCTGACTCTTGCACCCCAACCCCTAGCCTGCTCCTGCACCCTAACGCCCTCCCAGACCCTGCACCCCCAGTCCTGAGCTCCCTCCCTCACCCTAACTCCTGGCCAGACCCCGCACCCTAACTTTTTTTTTTACATTTTTTTAAAATAAAGTGCTCTTATCCAAAGCGCTTTACAATAGTTAGCTAACGGTACAAACAATATTTGGAAAGATCATTAAGTGGTCTGCTGAGACCCCTGGCAATTTTCAAGTGGTCTATGGAAAAATAAGTTAGACTACAAAAACAATCAAGGTACCTCACTTTATTTTCATTTACTTGCTATTACTTATAGGAGGAGGAAGAAAAAAAGAATGAAAAACGGGGGTGGGGAGATAAGAGAGAATGTTCTTTTTCTTGGCTGGGTCCCAAGGAGGGGCCCCAAAAATGAAGCTGAGCACAGGACCCCACTAACTCTAAATCTGCCATGGGGACTGACCCCTCCCCCACAGCTCCCCATGCCACAGCCAGGGGCTGACCCCTCACTCCCCGAGATCCGCATGCTGCTGCCAGGTCAGGGACTGACCCCTCCCTCGCCCCAGCTCCCCACACCACTGCCAGGAGCTGGGGCTGACACCCTCCCCACACTGCTGCCAGGGGCTGGGGCTGACCTCTAACCCCCCCAGCTCCATTCTGGCTGGGGCAGGGGCTGACCCCCAAACCCTGTTGCCTGACCCCTTGCGTCGTCACCCTCCCACACACATTCCTCCACGCCCCGCTAGGGGGGCGCGCCAGACTTTTTTGGTAAACAGGGCATTTGTTAGTTTGTTCTTGCCAGCTGAGCAGTTGGCAAGAGCAAATGGGATAAATGCCCGTTTTTGTCAAAAAAAGTCAGGATGGCTGGGACCGAGCTTAAAAAGGGAACTGTCCCGGCCACCCTATCTCCAGGCACGTGGGTCCTGAGGGAGTCCAGCCAGGGTGGGGGAAGACCCTGGCCTGGCTAACTGCGCCACTCCCGGGAGGCCAGAGTGATTCCCTGCCCTGGCACTGGACCGGCCCCGGCCGCGCTGCCAGCTCAACCTGGCAGACGCCGTCACCTTCCAGCAGGGCCAGTGAGTGTGGCCAGGGGACAGGGTGTGAGGGAGTGGGTCTCTGGAAGTGTGTAGGGGGGCTGCTGGCCAGTGTGGGGTGTCTTGGGGGGTAGTGGGGGAGGTCTGTGTGTTGTGATGCTGGGCAGTGGGGGGTCTGAGTGGGGTGCTGTGTAGTTGCGGTGGTGGGCTGTGGGGAAGTGCATTGGGCAGTAGTGGTGTGGCTGGGGGGGGGTGCTGAGCAGGCCACTGTGCATTTGTAGTGGAGGGTTTGTGTGGGGGGCTGCTGGGCATAGCAGCTCTGGGGGATGCTGGGCATAGGGAGTCGGGGCTGTGTGGCACGGCACGAACCCACCCCTGCGGGGAAGGGGCACACTGGCAGCACAGGGCTGGGCGGGTCAGTGTGCATCTGGCAACTGCTGGTTTGTATACAGAGCCCTTGCACTGGGCTGGGTGGAGCAGGGCCGGCCCCACCATGCTATGCCCCAATGCTCCTGGCTGTTCCCTTGCTCTAGGGACCGCCCTCCCCACGCCACGCGCCTTTGCCCCCCATGGCGGCCCACAAAAGGTTAATCTGGCCCTGATTCACCCAAAATACCACTCTCATCCCATTGCCCCTAGTGAACTATCGGGGAGGAATAGCTGTGTAACAATACGCCCTCCTGCACATTCCAGATCCTTGGCTGTCCCTTATGAGTCATCCCCTCCAGCCCTGAGTCATTTGTGTTACTCTGCTGCAAATTCTTTAGTTTGTTGTCTTTGTTCTATTGCCCTCTGCAGGTGCCCAGTGCTGAATGCTGCAATCTCACCAGTCACATAAAGAGGAACTAGCATCTCCCTTGTCCCTGAGATGAAGCCTGTGTCTGAGGAGGCACAATTAAACTGGCTTCCATTCCAGCATATCACATTGCAAACTCATCTCTACTTTGATGTTCATCTTCATCCCTTAAGCAGGCATGCTTACATAAAACAATGAAAAACAAGTTTCCTTATATCCGCTAAAACAGAGATTGCCAAAAAGAAAATGTCATCAATCTGATTTACCTTCCCACTATTTATGCTCTGCAATCACTTTTTGCATTCTTTCTTGTCGGTCAATGAAACTAGATTAGTTAATTTCACTTTCAATTTCACCCTGAGGTGCTGGCCAGTACTTCAGCGTTTGGGGTGCTAGCACAGCAGTTGAAAATTTGTTAAAAAATATTGTTCCCTTGACATTTTTAAAAAACCATGGTAACATGTTTATTGGTCCAGGGGTTTTTTAAGGCTCAATTTAAACAAGTCCTCACTGTAGAGCCAACTTGCTCAGATAGTGTGGCATAAGCTTCATCCAGTATCACTACTCCAATATTTCTCCCTCCCTCTGCCTGCATGAGCTTCCAATTATTTCCCCCCCACAACTGCTCGCTACATTCTTCCAAGCTGAACCACGCTATGTCTAATCATGGCAGAGCCCTTTGTATTATCTTTCTGCACTGCGGTTTGGAAGCACTCCTAACTGGCATCAAAGTAGTAAAAAAATAGACAACTTATTAAATGATCTATTCTACTACCTCCCCATCTCCTGCCAGTGCAAGACTGCTTACTGCAGTGGGCAGTATTCCCATCAGTATATTTAAAATAGCTTCTTGGGCACAAGTGATTATGACGGGATTGTCAATGATGCAGCCAAAGCAGGAATGTTCAATACACACATTCATTCTGCATTTGGAAAGAATCATGGAAAGGCAGGGTTGGAAGGGAGCTCAAGAGGCCATCTTGTCCATTCCTCTTTCCCCCCACATTGAGGCTGGATTAAGCAAACCTAGACCATCCCTGACAGATATCTGTCTAACCTGTTCTTTAAAACCTCCAATGTTGGGGTTTCCACAACCTCTCTAGGTAGCTTGTTCCAGTGCTCAACTCCTTAGATTTAGAAAGTTTTTCCTAATAACCAACCTAAATTTCCCTTGCTGCAAACTAAGTTGATTATTTCTTGTCTGACCCTCAGTGGACATGGAGAACAATTGATCACCGTCCTCTTTAACAACCTTCTACATAATTGAAGACTTACGTCCCCCCTCAGCCTTCTCTTCTCTAGACTGAAACCTTTCCTCATATTTTCTAAACTACTTATTTTTGTTGCTCTCCCCTGGACTAGAATTTGTTCACATATTTCTGAAAGTGTGGCACCCAAAACTGGACCCAGTACTCCAGCTAGGGCCTCACCAGTACAGAAGAGAATAAAACAATTAGCTCCTGTGTCTTACATACAACACTCCTGTGAATACATCCCAGAATGACATTTGCCTCTTTGCAATTGGATTATGTTTTCATATCAGATAATGACGAAATACTTTCCATTCCAATAGTAATTATGGAGGATGTTAAACAGTATCAACTAAAGTTAAATATTTTTATAAATCAGCAAGTCCAAATAAGTCACATCAAAAAGAGTTTTAAAAGCATTAGCCAAAGAGCTTTCTGGACAGTTGATGTTAATATTTAATAAATTTTGGAATAATGAGGAAGTTCCAGAGGACTGTAGAGAAGCTGATGTTATTATGGTATTGAAAAACAAAAACAGGATAACTCAGGTAATTTATAGGCTTGTTAGCCTGATGTTATTCTTGGGGAAAGAAAGAAAAATAAAAAATAGCTAATATAGAGCATAATTAATACCAATCAACATGGTTTTATGGAAAAAATGTCAAACTTAATATTGTTTGATGAAATTACAAGGTTGGTTGATAAAGGTAATTACTGACATAATATATTTGGAGTTCTGTAAGGAGTCTGAATACTTCACAATATTCTTATTAAAACATTAGTATGATATTAAATCAATATAGCTCATATTCTGGGGAATCATCCATGGGAGGTGGTTGGGGGGGAGGGGTCCTGCAGGGATCAGCTCTCAGTCCAATGCTATTCATTATTTTAATCAATGAACTGAAAGAAAATATAAAACCATTGCTAATGAAGTTTGCAGATGATGAAAAGACGGGTGGGGTGGTAAATAATGAGGACAACAGGTCACAGATACAGAGCAGGATTATACATTTATGAACAAAGAATGCAGGCCACACTTGTAAGATGGAGTAAAGTATCCTGGAAAGCAGCAGTTCTGGAAAGGATTAAAGAGTTATGATAGAAACCAAACTCCACACAGTGTAATGTGATGCTGCAGCTAAGACAGCAAATGTGATCCCTGGATATAAAAAAAGGAATATCAGGTAAAAGTAGAGAGGTGGCATTACCATTGTATGCAGCATTGGTGACACCTTTACCGGATACTGCGCCAGTTCTGTGTCCACATTTTAAAAAGAATATTGAAACATGGGAAAGGGTTTAAAGAAAAAGCCACAAGAATGATTTGAAGTCTAGAAAACATACCTGACAGTGAGAGATGTAAGCAGCTCTATTTGCTTAGCTTGCCAAAGAGAGGGGAAAAGAAGTGACTAGATCACAGTCTAAGCCCTGGTCTACACTACGAGGTTAGGTCAAATTTAGCCGCGTTAGGTCGATTTTATAAGCAATGCGTTTACACAACCAACCCTGTTCCGTCGACCTAAAGGGCTCTTAAAATCAACTGCTTTACTCCTCCCTGGCGAGGGGAGTAGCGCTAAAATCAACCTTGCTGGGTCAAATTTGGGGTAGTGCAGATGCAATTCGACGGTATTGGCCTCCGGGGGCTCTCTCAGAGTGCTCCAATGTGACCGCTCTGGACAGCGCTTTCAACTCCGATGCACTAGCCAGATACACAGGAAAAGCCCCGGGAAATTTTGAATTTCATTTCCTGTTTGGTCAGCGTGGCGAACTCAGCAGCACAGGTGACCATGCAGTCCCCCCAGAATCACAAATGAGCTCCAGCATGGACCGAACGGGAAACACTGGATCTGATTGCTGTATGGGTAGAAGAATCTGTGCAGGCCGAACTCCAATCAAAAAGAAGAAATGCTAAAAATCGCACAGGGCATGGTGGACAGAGGCTACAACAGGGAGACACAGCAGTGCTGCATGAAAGTTAAGGTGCTCAGGCAAGCCTACCAAAAGACAAAGGAGGCAAACGGTTGCTCTGGGTCAGAGACCCATACATGCCGCTTCTATGATCAGCTGCATGGCATTCTAGGGGGGACCTTACCACTACCCCATCACTGTCTGCAAGGGGGTAGTCTCACGCAACAGGGAGAAGGATTTTGTGGATGAGGAGGAGGAGGAGGAGAAGAAGAATGCGCAGCAGGCAAGTGGTGAATCCGTTCTCCCCGGCAGCCAGGACCTTTTCATCACCCTGGAGCCAATACCCTCCCAAGGCAGGATCCCCGACCTTGAAGCTGGAGAAGGCACCTCTGGTGAGTGCACATTTGTAACTACAGTACAGGGTTTAAAAGCAATTGTGTTTAATGTTTGATTTGCCCTGAAGAATTGGGATGCATTCGCGGCCAGTACAGCTACTGGAAAAGTCTGTTAATGTGTCTGGGGATGGAGCAGGAATCCTCCAGGGACATCTCCTTGAAGCTCTCCTGGAGGCACTCTGAAAGCTTTTGCAGAAGGTTTCTGGGGAGGGCTGCCTTATTTCATCCTCCACGGTGGACACTTTACCACGCCAAGCCAGTAGCAAGTAGTCTGGAATCATTGCAGCACAAAGCATGGCAGCAAATGGTCCTGGGTTTTGGTCGCATTCAAGCAACATTCGGTCTATATCTTTCTGTGTTAGCCTCAGGAGAGTGATATCATTGATGGTCACCTGGTTGAAATTGGGGAATTTTTGTAAGGAACAGTAAAAGGACCCCGTTCATGCTGGGCTGTTTGCGCTTGGCTAAAAGGAATCATCCTTGAGAATAGCCATGCGGTGGGGGGGAAGAGGTGAAGGGATCATCCCAGAGAATAGCCACGCAGTGGGGAGGTGTGTGCTGCATATCCACCCGAAAACTGCAGCCCCTCCTTTTAAATGACAAACCCAATCGGCATTGGTTGCTATGGGAAAGGAGGGCGCTGCAGTTTGAAACCATTCCCACATGTTATGAAGGCAGAAGAAGCCAACCCCGTGTACCCTTTGTCTTAACATGGCTGCCTGGAAACCAAATTCTGTTGCCCAGCTGTGTGTGATGTGTCACCATACTGGCAGGCACTCAATATAAAAGGCAAAATGCGACCTTGTACTTCAAGCACATGTACTGTCTGCTGTAAATTGCTTGATTCACTGTGAAAGAATCTCCCTTCTGTTCTCAGAAATGTATCATCTTAAATTTTACTCTCCCTTTTTATCCCCCTGCAGGAGGAAATGTTTCTACACTCCCCCTATCATTTCCGTCCCTGAGGTTGTTGCAGATTAGAAGGCGAAAAAAAACGCACTCGCGATGACATGTTTTCCAAACTCATGCAGTCCTCCTGCACTAATAGGGCACAGCTGAATGCATGGAGGCATCAGTGGCAGAGGCCAGGAAAGCATTAAGTGAGCACGATGAGAAGAGGCAGGAGGCAATGCTGAGGCTAATGGGGGAGCAAACGGACATGACGAGGC